AACCCCAAGTCCGGTGAAAAACCTTTGTTCCTGAAGGAAAAAAAAAAAACACAAAAGTGGAAAAGAGAGAGGAAAAGAGAAGGTGTGAAGTGTAACTTTGTTCTGTTCAGTTGGAAATGTGTTGTTTAATAAGTTTAGTGCATTCAGATAGTTACTTGCCACCCTCTTATTTCAGAGTAAACCAAAAGTAAATGTTGATTGTGTAGGCCCACAGGGTGTCAGGATGTTCAAATAAAACCCTTCACGAAGTCACAAATGAAAATCTCTGTAAGCTTCATGACAATATTCTTATGTCTTTATTTCGATTGCAAATTGTCAGGTACATCGCTACGCACATGCTATTACGAGCCACATCCCTTTTTATGCGCAAACACAGTACGCTTCGTCTGACGTCACGTCCTCGTCTGCGCATGCGGGTCACTTCAGGGCCATATACCGTTCACACATGGCAGTCGCATTTAAATGACAGTGTGAACAACAGCGCAAAAAAAATCGGATTTCGGGAAAAAATCCGATCTGAGCATTAAGACCTGCAGTGTGAACATAGTCTAAAATGTTCATGGTTCAGAATGAATATCAGTGTACAATTAGGATCAATCTGATTCATTTACTCAGCCTTGAAAATGTAAAAAAAAAAGAAAAAGCAAAGCACAGTATTGAAACACTTGGATTTTTATTTAAAGGTTATCCATTTGAGCATTAACTAGCTGACATAACTGACATGTACATACCATTGTATGCCTTTTAACATTCACAAGCACCGAATATGATTAAAAAAAATAAAATGCAGCATGCAATTTCTAGTAAGTGCGCAACATTCCCATACCAATGATAAAACACAACACATGTAGAGGGTAGTAATGATGTAAACTGTTTCTGTCCAACATGCCCATTATGAAAAACAAATGTTAAGACAGACAGAAAGGAAAGCATGACTGTCCTCTGAACACAAGCGTGCTGCAGTGAAAGAGAGCAGAGAGAAACAGATGCTATCTCCAGCTGTTTAAAATGGCATCCCTTCCTAGTTCCCATTCTCATTAGGGCCTGAAGAAGATGTGAAGGTGACAATCTGATGGATGCAAATGATCAATAAACCACTTTCTTCAATTAAAGACAGTTACATGAGGATGTGATGGATCCCTGTTCACGGAGCCCAGTGCACTGTACCTTCACCAAAGCACAGCCATTCAACCTGATTAACAGTGATAACATTGGTTTTGGCACTTAAGGATTGGAGGTAATTAAAATAAGACAGTGATACACCGTGCTGAATCACTAAGGAGTCAAACAAAGATTGAGAAAGAGCCTGGAGTTCTGTGTTCAGAAACGGGCACGGATTCTGTCCAATGGATCTTTATCCCACATTTTGGGATCCCAAGCGTGAAACCAACCAGTGAAAGTTGGAGGCTCTGCTCCCTGTTTGATGGTGGTGATGGGGAGTCCTCTACGGCCAGATGGGTCTGAGTTTACGTAGTCTTTTGCTGCATGTCAAGAAGTGGATAAAAGAACGGACATGTAGAGAGAGACAGACACAGTGAAAAGTCAAAACTAATGAACAAACTTTGCCAGCAGCTCAGCATGAGGAAAGAGCATTTTAACCTCCAAGAACTGAAGCAAAATTAGTATTCATTTGGAGTTGTCTTTCTGGCCACTTAGCAAATGCAAATCCATTATTCATTCTTCTTTTAGCTACATCTCCCTGTTTGTGTCTTGAGCTGCTAAACACTCTACTATCAACAACAGCTGGCTGCTAACTTTGTCAGTATGCTGTTTGGTGCATAACTACTTTACAGTGGGTTTTTACCATTGACATATATAGGATGGACATGGAGTCACCACTTCCCTCCACTATGCAAAAATGAAGCCACAATATCATGAATACAGCGGCTGCCATCTTGCTTTTTTGTGACCCGATTCTGCACACTAGCAACCAGAAGTGGAGAGACCAGTCAAAGCTGTCAAATCAACTGAAACACACCCCTTTTTATATCATTAAATAACATATTTAAAACAAACTGACCAGAAAAATGACCACTTCTACACACATCTGTATGATAATATCTACCAAAAACCACAGACGTGATCTTTTATTTGATTTGTACATTGAGTTTTTAGTTCTGCTCATGTCCATCCACTAACATGGAGGAGGTGGGATTTATGACCTATACTGCAACCAGCCACCAGGGGGCGACCAGGTTTTGGTGGCTTAACCTCTGAGAGCTCTTAGCCTGTCCATTGTTTTTACAGCCGATGGTGTTTACAGAGCTTTTTATGTTGATACCAGCTACCTGTTGCAACTAAAAAGAGGATGATGAAAACTGTGTGAGTGAACTGAAACAGTAGCACATCACCATAAATCCTAGGCAAAAAGACCAAAGAGGCTATTCATCTCCACAGATATGGAAGGAATTACAGAATCAGGTGTCACTTTTTCTCTGGGTTCACTACAAGCAACACCTTTCACATTACACACAATCATTTTTCCCATTGTTGACATAAAAATATTGACTGGTAACAGCTGAACCATGAAGTAAATTTGTGAGTGATTGCTTTGGGACTTAACAAAATGTTTATTGTTACCTTGTTTGTGGTGCAAGATGACTTAAAAATCAGTAAAAACAGTTCTGAAATGGTATTTTCTGGCAGAAATGATCTGATGAGAGACAATGAAATCTAGTAGCAGATTTGTTTTTTTCTTTTAGGGTTTTTTTGTGCTACTGACCTATTTTGGGAGCTCCAGCCTTTTCCTTGTCATTAGCATCATTACCAACCCAAAGGAAGATCTACAGGGAGAAGAGAAACACTCACAGTCACTCAGTCTACAGCTCAGCAGTTTTATGAGAAGGTCATAAAAATAAAATCAGGGCTTACCTGGTCGCCGGTATCTAGGATCATGACATCATCCATGGCCAGATCTGACTGAGTGAAGTCTCCTGGTACTTCTTCAGCCTGAGAGACGGCACAGAAGAAAATGCAGACTGACTGTATGTAGCTTCATGGATATTAATTACACTATTGCATTATTTTGTTGATTGTGTACATCTAATAACATTTTCCATTTGTTGTATGTAAGAAAAACAAACTCTACTCCTATCTTTTCACTCTATGACTTACAATGAGTCTCCCAGTTTTGTCGGAGCAGCCAAAAAGACGTGGGAGTTTGACCATCCTCTGCAGACTCTTGGAGGTCTGGTATTCCTTCTTGCCACCCAAAGCAGACCAGAACTCAGCTGGGAGGGAAGAAATAACAACAGCCATCAGCTCCTAATAGTTTGTCCCATATTTGGTGTGTTGTTTGGAGGAAGTGAATCACATCCTCCTTGGGTCACTCAGTAACAAGATGCATTACAGCATGCATGAGACTTTCATTTTAGCATTTTAGTATTCAGGCTCTATAATTATCAAAATCAGACCCATGTTGTTTACAACACCCCCTAAAATGTCACAGTTGGCAGATAAATAAAGCAAAAGTGGTCAGTTTTTTCATGGCGGATATGTATTAAGTAACAATACTGCTAAGCTAATCATTTCTCTTTTATACAGTATATTGGACGTGGGTGGACGCACCAGTCTCCTTGCCCTCTGGCACAGTGGTGGGATTGCCACCCAGGACGCCCACCACATATTTGGCAGCATCCATCTCCTCATCACTGGCACCCATGCCCCGCCACACAAACACAGCATTCGGGGTTTTCAGCACAAACACATCATTGGTGTTCAGTTTGGAGGCGGTGGCATCAACCTGAGGAAACCGTTGCAGACAGGTGAGAGGCGAAAATCAGAAGTCTCTACACCATATCAGATACTCAGGGACATGCATGGGTGCAGCTAACCTCCACAGCCCGGGTAGCATTGGAAGAGCTCTGTCGGATGTGGAAGAGACGAGTAGCGCTGGCCTTCGAATGTCCGCCTTTGCGTGACGTTCCTCCAAGGTGGATGATCATAGGTTTGCCATGGAAGAGGCTCATCAGATGTGAAGGCTCCTGACCCTGAGTCACTCTCACCTGTGGATGAGATGATTGAGAAACTTTTTCATGAGGATTGGAGGCTCTTATAATAATTCTAGTTTAGCCTTAAGGTAATAGGATACAAAATGAAGTCAAACAAAAATCATGACCATGTAAGCATAAATGACATAGCAACTGAGGTAGTATTTTGATGTTGTCATCGTTCTTCATTATGTCAGCTTTTCTTGTAATACTGTTTGTCTGGTTACCAGTAGGTCTATTTGAAGACATAAATGACAATACCAATTAGTTTGAAGGTTTTTTGCTTTTTAACTACAAATTGTGTATAGCTTACTATTTTTAAAACTATCATCCTATACATTCTACCACACCAGACAGAGTAAATAGACTAAAACATAGAAAATCACTGGTAAAATAAGAAACGCCTGATCTTTCCTTATAAAATCACTGGCTATATATCAAATTTTGTTTATTTGCATATAAATCTTGTTATGCTTTGTGTATGAAAAGGGTGCAGGTTGAGTATTGTGGGGTCAAAATAAAAACCAAAGGAACACTGCCCTCTGCTGGTTGTCCATAGTTGTTTGTTTTTCATGGCAGAAGAGTGAAGTTATTAGAATCAGAATCAGCTTTATTGGCCAGGTGTGTTGGACACACAAGGAATTTGACTCTGGTACATCGGCTCTCAATGTGCAAACAGTAAACCAGCATAAGGCTGTGTAATATAACAAAAATAAGCAGTATTTACAAGCAGCAGAAAGCGCAAAGAATACAGAATAAGCAGTATGAGCAGACTGTAACAATGCAGACAACAAAGGAATGTTCATTGAAATGAGATAAATAGGGATAAAAATAGAGCACTTAAAACAGAGTACTAGAGACCTGTATGAGTCTGTATAATCTGTACAATGTATATATACACAGGTATTGCACTGAGGTTTATTGTCCAATCATATGGTCATTGGTTAAGTGTTCATCAGTATAATAGCCTGGGGGAAGAAATTGTCCCTGTGCCTGGTTGTCTTGGCATACAGTGACCTGTAACGCTGTCCAGAGGGGAGGAGTTCAAACAGATTGTGTTACTGAGATTTCTGGAAGTGGTCAGATAATCTGACTCATCTGTAACAAGTGGGGTTAAGAGATTAGAAAAGATGAACCCTCATCACAACTAAGGACAGTTTCTTCTCCACAGCGCAAGTACCAGGACATTACAGACGTTACACTCTGCTGCCACAGTGAGCTTTTAATCCCACTACTTACAGATCCTAAGAACACATCTTTACACCAGTTATGTGCAAAGTTTAATGAGATCATTAAAAGTAAATGATATATGGTTACTCAACTGGGACAACAATTCCTTTGTGTATTCATGTCAGCTTCTAAAAACAAAACTCCTAAAATAATTGCCTCTAATTGCATTGTTTTTATTATTAATTCCCATTGACAGGTCTGAGGTTTAGCTTGTCAAATACTGTACTGTACTGTACTGTACTGTGCAGAGTTGTTTTTAAAAGGATGTGAAGGGGAGTTAGTTTACCTGGACTGGGGATCCTCCCATTGAGTCATCCAGCTTCACTGTGAGGAATGCTGAAGCTGCCAGTTCATCCTGTGTGCACTTCAGTCCCTGCCTGACACAGTAATACACGCAAAGTCTAAAAGAAGTTCCTGGAACAGGCTTTTCACTGGTGTGTGTGTGTGTGTGTGTGTGTGTGTGTGTGTTGTGATGTTAAGACTGGGTGTGGTGTGGGTACACAGCTTACTTCAGACTGTATACACAAATGGTACTCTACAAACGTGTTTGCACAGACATTTGTTTTTGCTCACCAGGTGTATATGATGTGTTGCTCGCGGCCTCCCTGTCTGTAGCTATAGAGGATGAGGTAACAGTCTCCTCCATAGAAATGACCGTAGGTGGACGGATCCACTGGCACCTTTTCACCATTCTCCACACGCCAGATCTGAAAGCCAGCATTTTACACAACTCACTAATCACACTTTGTTTTATCCAGACTTGGTTTAACCTTTTTAACATACTCGTACCTTGACCTTGCCCTTGCCATCATCCACCATGCCATGCTGGGCTGCCATGGCTGTGTTCGAGTGCAAGGTGGAGGCATCGAACGGCACCTGTTTCACTTTGGCTATGTGGCCAATGGTGAAGGGCTTACTGGGGCCTGTAGTCTCGTCCTTGTTCTTCCAGTCACTGAAGAACTGTTTAAACAGAGTCGGTTCGGCTCCTGCAGGAATCACCTGGATCTGCAAGGGAAATGGACATTTGACAGCAAATGACTCTTCTTCTGCCTGATTAGCTGCATTTTCTTCTTTAAGTATGACATGGAATTATGTGTGTGATATTATTAGATGTTAGCTTTACCAGTGTCTTATTGGAGTATCCCTTGTCTTTGATGAACTGCTGACCTGCAGACATGGCAGCTTTACGCTCTGATGTGTTGGCCTTTGGACCTGGTTGGAGCCAAATAAAGATGACATGATGACAAGGCCATAATTCTCAAAAACATGATAAATCATTAATTACAACAGATGGGCAATACTAAGGCACAAAGGTTTGTGAAGGTAGACATATAGTGGCATTATTAATTTGACATTGCATACGTTTCATTCAGTATTTCCAGTGACATCTCTGAGAGGTTTTGGTGACCTGAGGGGACTGATGTTTTACTTTAACAGCTGAATGAACACATGCAGCAACAAAGGCAGACTTTTAAATGTAGAAAGTGCATCGGAAATTGTCTTCAAAAGATTTCTCTACTGTCTTTGGTACCCCTAGAGGCAATAACGTAGTTCACCGCTGCCTTATCAGACTAATATCATTAGTGATGGGACACTGTGGATTTGGTCATTCTAGCTCAGCAGCGTAACATTGTGTGTTAATTAATGTGATGATATCACAGCAAGAATTTAAAAGAAATCTGAATAAATCAGGGCCAGAAGAGCTGTTTTTCATGAGTTTAGCTTGAAGACACAACTTTTTGAACGCACACATTTTCCAACCTATTTGTAAAGCAAACAAAAAGCGAGTGCTCCGAATTTGTTCAGCGCTACTTTGTGCTGTTACTCTGTAAATGCTGCTGGCACCTTTCCACACAAAGATGTTTTTGTCCACCCCATTGTCCAGGATGTAGCACTCCTCGGGAGACAACATGGCCTGTTTGAACGGACTGGATGGAGCCACAACTGTCATCTTCATTGTACCAGATGCATCAGAGATCTGTGAAATGGAAGGATATTAATAGCTGCCAGCTCAGTTCATGAACTCTACAGATTAATCAGGACCGGGGTCTTTATTTACTACAATATTTCCAATATTCTCTTAATATTTTTCATTGAGAAAAAAATTTATATAATGAGGAATGTGCTTTCAGTTTGGCTTTTCAAATTCATATCAGTGCCATAAGAATGTCGCACGGAGTAAGCTGTTTCACAGTGATATGGCTAAGGTTTAAATACTGCTCAATGACACACCTGTACAAATGTGTAATCTTATGCTACACCCAGAACTCAAAGTCAACAATCACAGTATATTCAGGTTTATTCAGGGGGCTTGTTCCTCACCATGTAGAGGGCGCCCTTCTCCCTGTTCCTGGTTTCCACCTTCTCGTCATCAGGAATGCTGGGGGCAATTTCAGGTATAGGTCCCAGAGCCTACAAAACAACAAGGATAATTAATGCTCATGCTCCTCTCTTTGTCAATTGTCACATGTGCAAAATACAAACTTTTTTTTTTTTTTTAAATAAGCCCAGATACTCACACAGCAGCCTTGATAGTGATTTGTTCTGTAGACTATGTTCTTCAGATTTACTCAGATTGAAAGAGATCTCAAGGAATCTAAATATACTCTGTAAAGTGACACCCCCTCCCCCCTCTGTCTTTCATTAGGCCTCTCTGGAGTTTGCCCTCCTCTCTTGTTGTAAAGAAACATGAGCAGCAAATTACAAAGGATGGCACTGTGACCAGCCATTCCCACACTAATTAACTCATCAGCCATGAAATGCATCAACAACACTTTCAGCTTCTGCTCATAAAAGTTCACCTCTGTGGTGAACACTTCAGTTTTGTGGCTGAGTTTCACCAGGAGAGGGAAGAAAAATGGGGAATGTGTGTAAATGCACGTCACCTCTATTACAGCCATCGGCTCCCTCCCCTCATCCACCAGGTGCAGCTTAGCTCTGCCATTTCTCTCTTTATCTCTGATGTCGATGGCGACATCAGCGACTTTCAGCTTCTCAAAATGATTACATTCAGAGCCACACCACTGGTAGATATTCTGCAGGAGAGGAAGAGACAGGAGATAGATATTAAAGTTGTAATAAGATATAACAAGAAAGTTGTTTTAAGATTTATGTCCTGGATAATTTGGTTACAACAGTTGATGGTAATAGCAAGTGCGGTTTAATACTACAGGCCCCAGAATTCCGTGGGCAGCAAACACAGAACAGCTATTTTGTCAGACAACAACTGGTGCATCTGAGATATACACTCACACACATGCACTCACACACATTAAATAAGCAGATAAAGCAGTTCCACCTGTCCCAGGTCAATGATGAAGCAGTCTCCCTTGTTGAAGCTGGTCCAGGACATGTCCACCTCTGTGGCTCTGATGGCCCTCCGACCCTTGATGTGCAGCAGGCGCTTCACGTTCATTTCATTGGTCACCACATGATGAAAACCTGAGGCCACGCCCCCTTTCTGTGACAAAAATAATATGTAGGAATCAGAGGTGCACTGCTAAGGTTTGAAGCAAGATATGTGGAGTGAAACAATTTCATGACACAGAGTTAAAGAAATACTCTTATACAGCATTGTAAAACCTCAAAGGACAAAAGGTTGTATAATGTACTGTCAAATAATGAAAGTAGATTGCATACTATGAATCATAGCATAACCAATAAACCTTATCAAATAGGAACAGTGAAACTATCATAAAGGAGACTCATGACTGTTCTGTGCAACAGTCCTGTGCCTGTGAGGCAGGACTGTCTTGTAATGTGCCATTACCAGCGCAGTCATTATACATACGTGTATTTTTACAACATGCATATGAAACACTGCAAATGAGCAACAGACACACTGAGTGGATGGATGATGTTTGCTTTTCAACGTGTGGGTGAACTAAAGCTGAGAGCAGCTGTCAGTTCATGAGTACAAAAACAAATGGGAGAGTTCCTCATTCTTAAAATGAGGGCTTAGCAATTTGTCAGGTTTGCCCGGCTGCACCTACTTTCTCACTCCCCTCACTCTGTTTTCACTCCCTTACCCTGATTACGTTATCCCTTACACCTGCTTCTTACCCCCGGATTACCACCAGCTGCACCTGATTAGTTTCTCCCTATTTAGCCCCTGCTCTTCGTTCACTCCCCTGCCAGTTCTTTCTAGCATTTCTCAGGCCCGTTTGTTCCCCGTTGTTCCTTCTGATCTGTGTTAGTTTTTTTTTTTTGTCTCCTTCTGTCCAGCTGCCTTTTATTCATTCCCTCCTCGCCTCAGTCGCTCCTTTGGACCACGGACCTCCTCCGCTCTGCTTCACCACCACCCTGCAGGTCGATGCACAGTCTTCTACTTACCGTATGTACAATGTCTGTTCCTCTTCAGTACCATCCAACTCGACCAGTCCAGGAGTGAGTCCCAGTGTCCGCAGCCCGGTCCTCTTCTCATCGTCTCCACCACTGACTGTGTTCCCATCCGAAGCTCGACACCCGGTCCCAGTGTTACTCGTCTGTTCATTTCTTGGTCACTTGTTTTACACTGTAAATAAACTTGCACTGCCTGCA